GAGCAGGCTTGGTTTCGCGCCGGTCATGGATGCATCGATAAAATCTTCACCTTCCGACAGCTGCTAGAGCGTCGTTATGCCTACCAAAGACCAACGATCATTGTATTCATAGACATCCGCTTGGCCTTCGACTCTGTCGATAGGACCGCACTATGGAACTATTTGTTGAGGAATGGTGTACCTGAAAGTATGTGTCGATCCTCAAAGAGTTGTAGCGGCACACCTCAGGTCGGGTTAGGGCCCATAGCCAACTTTCGCCGTCTCCAGGGAAGTTCCGCAAGGCTGCCCTAAATTCCCATTCCTTTTCAACTTTGTTATAGAGGATGTTCCACGAAATGCTTTGGTCGGTCTGGCAAACGGTGAAATCAAACTCCTCCCAGGGAACAGAGTCTTTGACTAAAAATATGCCGGTAACATCGCCTTGCTGGGTGACAACACACAGGCAGTGCAACACGCTTTAAACCACTTGGCCATAGAGGTATCCAGGTATGGTATGTGCTTTGCACCATCAAAGTGCTTGTTCAAGACTGGCAGGAGCCTGTGCATGCACTCAACCTATGTGGTGATCAGCTAGAAGTAGTTGAGAGCTTTGATTACCTCGGGAGCTTGATCGCAGCTGGTCTTGGTGTTGGGGGAGGAGATCAAATCATGAAAGCTAGAACAGCTTTCGCCAACTTGCGACACCTGTGGTGCCACCATGACATCCTACTATCCTTTAAGGGAAGGGTGTACATCGCCGCGGTCCGTAGCGTTCTACTTTACGGTTGCCAGACCTGACCCCTCCGCGTTGAGGATGCTAATCGACTTTCTGTATTCGACCACGGATGTCTTCGAAGCATTGTTCGTGTTTGGTGAGAACACCGGGTGAGTAATGGCGAGGTTCGTTGTCGTGTACTGGGTGCGGATAGTCGTTCTCTAACAGAAATAATCGCTCTACACCGCCTCCGATAATTTTGTCTCGTATTGCGTATGCCTACCTATCGACTACCTTTCCGTGCTCTCTTCGCACGTGCCGGGCAAGGCTGGAAGAAGCTCCGCGGCGGTCGGACTATGACATGGCGTAGAGGTATAAAGACGCTGTCTTCAGTTTTGGCTTCGGTTGGTGCAGCCTACCTTCCAGGTTGGGGCCCAAGGTATGGGGATTGTCGTTGGTTAGAGACGCTGAAAGATATCGCCCAGAATAGAAATCAATGG